ACCATTATGTAAGCTATTTAACAGGTCTCTAAAAGAAAAAGTTTTCCCATACCACTGGAAACTAGCTCATGTACTGCCTCTTTTCAAAAAAGACGACCCGTCTTTAACATCAAATTATAGACCAGTATCATTACTGAGTTGCGTAAGTAAAATTATGGAAAGAATAATTTTTAAGCATGTGTATAATTATTTTCATTCAAATGATTTGTTCTACAAATACCAGGCAGGTTTTCTACCTGGTCACTCAACCGTTTATCAATTGCTAGAAACATACCACAGTATTGCTAAAAGTATTGATGAGGGAAAATCATGTTGTATGATATTTTGTGATTTATCAAAGGCTTTCGATAGAGTATGGCACAAGGGTCTTCTTTTTAAACTACAAACGTATGGAATTTCGGGCAATCTTTTTGAATGGTTTCAAAGTTACCTGAACAATCGTACTCAAAAAGTTATGTACAAAGATACTTTGTCTTCTAGCAAGGCTATTAATGCCGGGGTACCCCAAGGCTCAGTCCTTGGTCCCTTGTTATTTCTAATATACATAAATGATGTTTCAGAAAACATGTTATCACTTTGTAGATTATTTGCAGATGACAATTCTATACAAAGTTCTTCGTCAAATGTTGCTAACATAGAATATGATATTAATCACGATCTAGAAGTTTTAGATGAATGGTCTAAAAAATGGTTACTAAAATTTAATCCTTCAAAAACTAAAGCTATATTCTTTACACTTAAAAAAAAAATTGAGCTTCCAAAACTATATTTTCAACAATGTCAAATACAGTGTGTATCCACGCATAAACATCTTGGTCTACTTTTTTCACAAGACTTAAGTTGGTCTGAATATATTAATGACATAGTAAATACTGCATATAAAAAACTTGGTCTTTTGAAAAAACTCAAATTCACTCTTGGACGTAACACACTTTCTAAAATGTACATAGCTTTTGTTAGGCCTCACCTTGAATATGCATCCGTTGTCTGGGATGGATGTACACAATATGATATTGAAAAATTAGAAAAAGTTCAGCTTACTGCCGCACGAATCATTACAGGTCTCCCCATTTTTGTTTCTAGTGAATCGCTCTATTCAGAAACGGGATGGGAACCTCTTGTAGAGAGAAGGAAGAAAGCTAAATTAACTACAATGTTTAAAATACATAATAACACTGTCCCTGATTACTTAAAAGAGATTTTTCCAAATACTCGAGGGAACATTTCATCATACAATACTCGTAATACAGAAAACTACACAATTCCGAAATGTAGACTTGAAATCTTTAAAAAATCCTTTGTCCCAGACGTAATTAACAACTGGAATTCTCTCAATCTGGGAGTGAGAGAATTAAAGTCCATCAATCAATTTAAGAAAAGTATTTGTACACCATCCTCTAAACCTCCCTCTTATTTTTCATATGGAAAACGTTTTTGGAATATAATTCACACTAAATTAAGACACAGCTGTATCTTAGATAGCGACTTGTATCGGAGAAATATAATTTCTTCCCCCAAATGTACTTGCGGCCAAACTGAAGACATTTATCATTTTTTCTTTGTATGCAAGAAATATGAACGTCCAAGAAATGACTTAATAAACACTATTCTTCAACTTAACCAGCAAAATATAATAGATACTCATTTTTTATTGTGCGGAAACGAATCTTTGTCTACCGATGTAAATATTAAAATTTTCTGTAGTGTCCAGAAATTTATTCGAGAATCAGATAGATTCTAATTCAAAACAGTGTCTTTGATTTCAATATGTATATGCAGAATGAAAATTTTAAATGTTTTATCAAATATGAAAGCTTCTTGTTCAATAAACATTGTAATCAGTGTATATGTAACATTAGAGCTCTGGTAGATTACTCAGAGTATGTGTCTTTATAATTTTCATGTATATTACATGTACAACATAAATTTTCGTAAATTATCTCAATTTACTTATTATGGCAATCATATATTGTATTCATTGTTTGTATAATAAGGAGAGGATTTATTAAATTGCAGGAACTTGTATCCAATCCTTTTGTATGTATTATTACAATAAAATATGTTCAAATCAGAGAAGGACAGTGTTGAGAAGACTAATATGGCGGACAAAAATAACTTTTTTTTTTTTTTTTTTTTTTTTTTTCTTCTTTACGAATCGTGTACATGCCTATTTACGAACCGTGTTCAGTTTTAACTGTAATGCGACCATTCATAACATGAATCTTAACAATATATATTGAGGAACTTATTCTGCCATGTTAGTTTGTTTACCCTCTCTATATTTTAACTGGCGAAGCAGTATGTTTTTTTTACAATAGTTCGTGAACGAATGCAAATGAATAGTTTCTCCACACTTCTGATTTTCATTTACACTGCGACAAAATATCACTTTCACATTATGACAAAATATTGCTTTTTAGTTCCTTCATACTCTGACGAAAAACATCAGTTTTATTTAATAGAAAATCACAATATTTACAGTGTTCAACTTTTGAAAATGTAATAAAACTTACATTTAATTTGTAAAATAGCACAATAACAGTATGATAATACATGTATATATTTTATTGTTTTCAATATTTATATTCACGATTGAAGTCCACGAGAAATGTGTATATAGGTAAATCATATACGGCACCAGATGCGCATTTCGACAAATTATGTATCTTCAGTGATGCTAAGTGAAATGTCTAAACGTGTTTTATGTTAAGTTTCATTTATTGGGCATTTTAAAAAAGAAGATTGGCGAACAAAGCGAGCAAAATACCTAAAGCTGCTAATGTATTAAAATCAAATTCAATTTCTGAATTATCTATTAAAAGCAATGTTCTTATCATTAAAAGATATGGAATAAAGACAAAGAAAAGTTTTTTGGCATAAATATAGAGCAAATTTACCGTATTTTATCGAATAATTTTTGCCATTTTTGTTGTGGATTTAAATATGTCGAAGTTTTCAGATTTGTTATCTGATTCCGCAAAATTAGGCAACTGAATTTGAACCAGTCGATAATAAGGCTCGACAACTTTTCATTAGAGGATAATCGTGATAAATAGTTGAATCCACACATTTCAAAAAGTTATTTCCCTTAGGTGCTACCTTTGGGGGGAAAAACCACATGAGCCCTATGATTTGATCAGGTAGACAAAATATTCCATATTTAATTGAAGTATAAAAGTTAATTAAACCTAGTAAGGTCTGTTAAAGAAAGATGTGGCGCTTATTGAGTGGGGGAAAATATCCAGGGTTGCGAAACTTACGAGTATCCCCTAAATGAACACAATAGCCAGTGATATAGAGGCCATGAGCGCTGATGAACAAAAGTTCAACCCGATAATGAGCTATAAATGACAATGTCAGAATCATTGAGGCTCTGAAACACACGGACTGTCGTAAAAACTGTAGTGCAATAGATGGCCAAGTTTGCACAACATGATCATAACTCTTCTATAAAGAGAAATTAGAGAAAAACAAGTCAAAGCATAGGGACACCGATACAGCTTACATTCCAGGCTTGGCTCAGCAATCAAGATTTAAAAACACTCACACAGTGAACTGTGCACAAATTGATAAGTTGAAAAAATCAACCAATCATTCGCCAGTCTGGTAAATATTTAATATATTGGTTTTTTCACAGGTAAGAAAACATTTAAAGTAAATGTCTTTTACATTATGTTTGTTAAAATTGAAACAAAACAATACTACATATAATATACACATTGGAGAAGTAAATATTTTATATTGATACGTGTTAAAATGTTTAATATCAGAGTTTCTAAATATACATACAATTCTTGTTTCATATACTGATCGTTTATAGGTAAAGCTTTACGGAAAATATACCTTATACACGTATTAAATGTAATCAAATGAAACAGAATATTAGTTTAAAATATATTTCAATTCATAGAAAAAATGATTTGGTAGAACCTTTATTCTCGAAACATTCCATTGAAGTATTATAAAACGTCATTTGTATCAACACGTATGCATAAAGGTTTTCGTAGTTCTTGTCAAAATTGTTTTTGGTCCAACTGCGAGTTTGTTGAAAATGAAGAGTTTATTTCAAGGACTTTCTTTTACAAGAGAAAAAAATACGAGAGAGAGAGAGAGAGAGAGAGAGAGAGAGAGAGAGAGACGGAAGCTAGAGAGAGACAGGAGATGGAGAGAAAAATACGACAGAAAGAGAGACGGGAACTCGTACACGAGCAAATGAATACATGTAAACTTTGTATGGAGAACAGGTATATATAGGAGCTTTCAAATAATTTGCAATTGAATAAATTCTATTTCAACCAAAAAAAAAAAAAAAAAAAAAGAAAACGCACAGTATTTTTTTTTTTGGGGGGGGGGGGGGGGGGGTATAATGGATTTTTTTTAAGCCATCAAAAGTCATATATTATAATGTTATGCAGCACATGGCATATTTAAAAGATAACAATTCAAAGCAGTGGACTCTGGGAATAAAACGGGGTCGTAAATAAATGATTTCATAAAAACAACTCGTCTACTGGTCTGATTATGAAAATTCATTCAAATCCTTTCTATTTTTCGATCTGTTCACTCCTTTTTTCTCTATCAATTAAAAAGGCAGTAAATATTTTAAAGAGAAATATACTACCTTGTTTGATCATCCTATAATAATAAAAGGTTTTGAGCATAATGATGGCATTTCTTAAAATTACGCTGCAAAATGAAAAGGTCTTTTCTAAACATCACACACTTAGACTTACTGATATCATAAGCAAAGGGATTTAACCCGCGATAGACAAAGTTCATTTTTACCAGCACAGTTATTTAGATCGACTGTGCTACCTTGCATAAAAAAACAGTCTTTTTTATTAAGCTCAGATGAACTCATTCTTGTTTATAATTCAATATTTTTAAGTCAGTGTTTCCAATGACCTTGAAATATATCTCGAAGAGATACGAATGTTGTGTCATAAAAGTAAATTACTTTTTATATGAATAAGACTATTTTCTTTATAAGTAGTTCTTACCTGAGATCGAACAAACGCATTTGGCCTGTCATATTCTAGTCCAAATTTTCCTTTTAAATTCTCACATGTCATTTTTTTAGTTACTCAGAAATAAATGATTCCAGGCTACTCATCAATACAAGGACAAATCGAAGATTTCCTTTTGTCTCAGGAAATGTCGTCGTCTTTCGGCCCACTATGCTTATTGAAGCAATTAGTTAGATTTGCAGTTTGCATTACACCCTATTAACAGGCTCAGAAGAGGTACATTATTTGATACTATGATATGACAAATTTTATCATGCTTTACCTAGTTTATATAAAAGCTTGTGCTTTAAGCCATAGAAAAAGGAACATAAAAATACACAAAGGCATGACATTACGTAATTTGCAATGTTTACTTATACCTTAGATGACAAAGTATTATTTTGGAAAGTTTTAAATAGCCGAAAATTGACGGAAGTGATATAGACTATTTTTTAAAGATATCAGTCCGGTCAGTCTGGTATACTGTCACTATACAGTATACCAGACTGACCGGACTTGTCTCGCGGAGGTCCGTGCAAATAAATAGGGTTGAGTAGTGTAGTTATAGTGCTAGATGTTTTTGTACTTAATTATTTTGTTCTTTCGTGACTTTTTGATATTTTCTTCTGTTCTGAGAAAGAGACAGAGCGTCCCGAAAGGACCATTCTCTCTAAGGCCTCTTTTGCGGCCTACAATGACTTCAAATTTTCAATTAGCATTTTTCCCTTTAAAAACTGCATGAATCAGTGCGTAAGTGATCCAGTTTAGTGATAAATGTTGATTGGTTAATGATGCTCTATTATCTGTTATGATATAAGATCACAAAGTAATGTACTATCGGCCCTTTTTAACATTAGGATAATGGGAAATTTCAGGAGGGTGGGCGTGTTAGGCAACCCCTACACATGTCATAATCACCTTTAACCAACACCAAAATTTTAATTTTATAAACATAAAAGTGACTAAAAACTTTTGGCTTCATTTTCAAGATATTTGCAGGAAAATCTAAATAGTGAAAATGAAGGCTATCAGCTTTATTAGCTTATGTAGATTATTTCATATTACAAGTTTTCAGTTAGAGCACATGTTTCTGTTGAATAAACAAAAGTTATATGAGCCATGCATTTTTACTCTCAGTAAGTCAATTTTTACGTGATATTAAAACTGAATAAGGGGAAACGAAAGAATGTATCAAGATGTTAATTAATAAGTGCAGTTCTAACTATTTAGTTGTGTTGCGGACATTATCTTAATAACCATATATTCCACACTCATTTATTTTACTTTTACTTTACTTTTTATTGCATTAAATATTTCTGAAATGTGAAACACTTCTCTGATATTTAGCTCCTTTGATAATAAAGTTGTTAACTGGACTAAGATAACAATTAATGACGATTTTTGTACAAGATAACACTTCAAACTCACTGGTAGATGTATGGGTTAAATTTTCAAAGAAATACCATTATTGACTAGACATTTGTTTTTATTTTACCTATAATGTAATACCATTTACTGTACAAAGAGAACTAGTTAGAGGTTAACTTGATTAAGATGTACAGTTTACTCCATTCAAACCAAATATGGTGTCATTTATCGCGATACATTGTAGTGTCAACAACAATTTAAATACTAAAAAAAGATAGATTAATCAGTGAATTCTTTATTTTGTGAAATTTATCTATAAAACTATTTGTTTTAACTTTTTTCAATGTATTAACGTCTGTGAAACCATACATATCTTTTTCAACTGCGTAACAATTGTACATCAAGAAATAACTAATTGTCCTTGTTATGTGGCTATTTTCATCTCAATAAACCACATTCTACATCTTTTAATAAGGTCCATCTTCAACAGTTGATCCTGTGGTATATATTTCAACCTAGAAATTAACATTTATCAACATTTATTTTTATTTAAAAAAATGACTAGAGATTATACTTATGGTTACTTGTAGTGTCCGCAACAAAAATGGTATGCATTTTCAAAGCTAGGTAAAGTGCAAACGAAGATATCCAGGATATTATGACAAAATATAATGTATTTGAAATTTAGGAGTATTCAATTTAATTTTCAGATGATAATTATATAGGTCTTATGTGTAATTGTAAAGGTAGATAAACTTAAAGATGGGAGAAAAAGAAGGCAAAAAAATATATAGTCATTAATGCATATACTTTTTTTTTGTTTGTTTTCAAAGAGAACCATAACATTTTTCTATTATATCACTGCATTCGGCTACATAATCTAAACCTGCAAAAAGTTTGGAATTGATAAGTATCTTTTAATATTCTTTTTAAAATAATAACAGGTGTAATGTAGTGTCCGCAACACAAGATATCACCCAAAATTTGATTTAGCATAATTTTTTTTTAGAACGCTTATACAAAAAAAAATAATAATAAAATAAATAAATAAATAGATAAAAATGGGACTTGTGTGGATAGGTATGGTACTTTCTAGAAAACATGTCAATAATGTGCTGTGTTGCAACCACTATTGAAATAACGACCACTATTGAAATAATTATTTCAATAGTGGTTGAGAGTGCATTTCAAAACCAAACACAGGTTGTAACCACTATTGAAATAACGTTTACTATTGAAATAATTATTTCAATAGTGGTTGAGAGTGCATTTCAAAACCAAGCACAGGTTGTAACTACTATTGAAATAACGTTCACTATTGAAATAATTATTTTAATAGTGGTTGAGAATGCATTTCAAACCCAGACACATGATGTAACCACTATTGAAATAACGTTCATTATTGAAACAATGATTTCGATAGAGGTTTTGCGTGCATTTAAAAACTTAAATCAGGTTGCAAAAACTATTGAAATAATGTTCACTTTTCAAATAGGGATTGATATAAAGATTTCAATAGTGATTTTAATAATTATTTTAATTGTTGCTGACGATGGTTTCCATTCCAAAACCACATTACAAGCATTATTGAAATATCTCCACTATTAAAAAAAAATATACGGATAAATTGTTCATTCCGTTTTCTAACACAATATATATATTGAGTTTAAAATATAAGTAATTTTATGTTTTTTCTTTTTTCTAGAAATTTCAATTAATACACGGACATCTAAAATTCAAATAATGTATACATGCAAGATCCCGCTGATTCTTGCCGACTCGGCGAAAACCAACAGACAATCAATCTATGTATGAAATTTTAAAATAATTTTATTATATAAAGTTCATCTTTGCCATTGATTTGGAAAGGAAAGGGAAGTTAGTATAAGCATTGTTGCAATAGTGAGTATTACATCAATAGTGGTCACACGAATAAAATCGCTATTGAAACATAATATCCGTTATTGAAATAATTATTTCATTAATGATTGTTATTTAAATAGTGGTTGCTTAATACTACCGCTATTGAAATAATACTGTCTATAGAACCCTTTTTTTCTACACGTACAATCGTATTTTTTTTTATTAAAAATCACAAAACAGAACTAAATTCTACCAGTTTCATTTTCAAGCTTCATCAAATTGACGATACATTGTTTACTTACAATTACACAATGAACATTACTACTGAGATGCCAGAGAGTGCTAGTATTTAATTATACTTTAGAAATGTTCATTATGATATCATTATATATAACGTATGTAATTCAATACGGATAAAAAAAAATAATACAGTTATATAATATTTGAAACAGGTTTATATCTGTGAATAAACAGTATCACGCTCATGTCCTGAAGATCTCTTCGAAATGTCAAAAAAGAAAGGAATAATAGAGAACCTTTTGACAAGCAAATTAAAAAATGACGTATGTGTGGTATATATTTGCAAATGTATTGAGGGAATTCACCTCTAAGTTAGACTTGTCTCCTATTACAAAGTTAATATTGGTCAAATGTTTAGAGGTAGCAACCTCTACGGTTCCTATGTGCTTGCACTGGACCACATTGCTATCATATTGCAAGAAATTATTCATGTACCTTATTTGGTCTAGATTCAATATAATTTTGACCAAACAAAATTATTTACCATTAGAAAAATGTTTATAAAGCTACCATTTTCTATTTTGATAAAAGTAAACATATTAAACTTAATATTTCATTTGTACCTTTAATAAACATGAAAAATAGGTCCTTAGATAAGAATCACAAATTTTATTTTCAATGAAGACGGTGAAAAGATATTTCAGACTCGATATATAAACCAAGTCGAAATAATAGCAAATAGCTTAATTATACATTAATTGCGTAAGTACAGGTTCTAAAATTTCTCTAAATGATAAAACAAAATTCGATACAATACGTCTTATCCACAATTTAAAGAAAAGATGAGAGACAATAAAACAATATGTTAAAATATCACTCATTTTATTATATAACAATTTGTTCTGCAAAGACATTGAGATAAAAAGTAAAGGAACGAAGTACAGTTTCTTCAGTGACACTACTCATCATTTGTTATTGCTTACCAACTTGAATAAAACTCAGTGTCACGGTGCGCTTTAAAGAAAAAAGTCGCTCTCTTTGATTCAACAGAGGTAAGTGTTAAACAAATGAAAAACTATAAAATTACTTTTTTTCATTAGGATTCATAAAGTGAACACATTTGAAAAGGAGATTAAAAAAGTGTATCCTACAACACCTGAATTACAGTATTTTCTAGAAAAAAGCATAACAAAAATATAAAAGAAAAGATAAAATTCATATTTCATAATTGATTACTTGGAGATAAGTGATATTGAGACTAATTTTAAGAGACACCTTTCTAGACCACGGATGCTTTTCAATCATCAAGGTATTTAAAAGAATGTTTCTTCTCTCCTTAATTTCATAATTCATGTCTGTGAAATTTTTTAAAATTAGAAAGACACCAATGCAGAATAAAGTTCTTGAATGCATGGATTTCTGATAAGATAAAATCCTATTGCAGATGGTTCCTCCGAAGTCGAGAGGACTTCGTCCACTTTCGGAAGAGAGGTATAAGTTATTTGTTCTATTGCTACAAGGTAGATTTAATGTCCGTGTAAAGGAAAGGACATTGCAGCAGA